TTCCCACCACTATAGAGTGAGAGAGAAGTCTTGAGAGTGCACCCTATCAAAGGAGCAAAAGTTGGCTAGACCCAGTAAGACATATCAGTCTCATCGAGTACCAGTTTTCACTGGATTCACAAAGGATGGGGGCAGCACTCTTGTATACAACATGTGAGATAATAGGTAACTTTGTCTAGCAAACAAGTACTAGAATGGACAAGAATCTACAAATTAAAGTGTTACAACAGACATGATGTCAGAGAGTTTGGGTATTAATTTCCCCTAAGTGATGAAGGAGAGGGTTAGGATAATGTGGATGCTGAGACTAAGGGACTGACTGAATGGATCCCTCATAAATTGAAAGCTGGGAGGGCACTTGATAAGAACAGCTGAGGTTGGTTTTTGACTGAGGAGGATGATAGGACACTGAATTGACAAAACACAAAATAAAACAGTGAGATAATAACAAGTGTTAGTAAGGTTGTGGAGGAAGTAGAAACTTCTACTACACTGTCGGAATGTAAACTAGTACATCCACTTTGGAAGTAGTCTAGTCGTTCCTCAAATGATTGAACACATTATTACCACATGGCTCAGTAACATCACTCTTAGGCATATATTGAAGAAAAATCCAAACGCATGTCTACAAAAAGTTACACATAAATGTTCCAACCCTCCCCAAAAACTAAACCTGTTGCCATTTTGTGCCTTTTGATTTATGGTGTCGCCTTGTGTTACAGAGTAGACCTGCTCCACAGAGTTTTCTTGGTTGTAATCTTCATAGAAGCAGATCACCACACCTTCCTCTATGGCACCTCTGGGTGGGTTTGAGCCACTAACTTTTTCTTTTTTTTTTTTTAATTTTTATTGTGATTTGTGTGAAAGTTTATGGAGCAAATTCGTCTTCCACACAGCAGTTCACATACACTTTGTCTCATGACATTGACTGCAATTTCCCACAATGCAACAGCTCCCCTTCACTTCCTCCTGATAATTACCTCTTCCCTGTGTTCTTCCCTCCATGCATTCCTGCCCCTTGAGCTGTCTCCCTGTGCATACATAGCCCTTCTATCCTCCCATAATTGATCTCTCCAAAGAGTGAATCTACCTAATGTAAATGTTCAGTTCATATGCCTGTCTTTTGTTTAGCTGGAAGCCACTGGAGTGGGTTCAATTCCAGTCCTGAAGGGTAGCTAGGGGCCGCAGTCTCAGGGGTTTCACTGTACTCTACCAGACCAGCAAATCTGGTCCTTTTTTTTTTTTTTTTTTCATGATTTCATTTTTGTTCCATGTTGTTCTCCCACTCTATCCAGGATCTCCTACAGAGATCCCCCTCTGAGTGGTTCACAGTGGTAGTTGGGCACCATCCAGTTCTTCTGGTCTCATAGTTGCATAGGTTGAGGATCACATGGTATACCAGTCGCTAGGACTAATTGTTTCCATGAATCTTTAGTTTTCTTCATTC